TTACAAACTTCATTAAACACGGTAAAACAGCGTGTAGAATTCGATATAAATGATCGAACTCGTTCACCTAATTGGTATATAACTTGTCAAAGAGCTAATTGCAATACACTTGATGTTGGAGATTTAATTTATCAAAATAGTTTAATTGATTTTAACTTGGAAAAATTTATAGATAAAACATCAGCTGGTTTATCAATAAGATTTTCATCTAGTTTTTATAAAACATTTTTTATAATTTTTGTAATATCGATAATGAAAACATTATACGGATAATTTAGAGACATAAAATCTATTTAACAAAATGCATTTAATAAAATATAAATTTTTGCTAATCGTAACTGGAGAAAAAATGGTATCAACACCGACTGCGACTGGTGTGGCTCCGATCATTATATTTGTTAAATAATTTGATAACGAGAATTGATAAAATATTTCCAAGTATAGTGACAAGAATGACAAGCATTTCTCTACAAAATGTATAGTTAAATATAATTTCTAGATTATTTAAAAAAGTTCTCGTGAAAATACATTTTTTATATCCTAATATCTCTGAGGAGAATCTCTTGTTATTAAGACATTAATTACTATAAAGAGTTTTGGGTGGCATTTTAAACACAGTTCTTAGCCTCATTCTATTGTATCTATGATAGTGTTGAAAATGATCCTTGGTGAATTATGGATAGTTTATTCATTCTGCAATACCTAATAATTTTGTTCTCCATTTATCATCAGCATAGATTCCTCTCTTTTCGTAAGTGGAATGAAATGGAATTGAGGATAGTTTTGGTTTGTACATTGTCTGTTTTTGCTAATGTTCGCTTTCATAATAGCTTCGAAACAAAAAGCTTTGAAATTACACATCATTTGATCTTTTCTACTTATTATTATGCATGACATCATGCTTTCTCTCTTCTATTGTTTTTATGTGTTACCGTGTGTGAACTTCCATGACATTATTTATCTGTATTGTTTTCCTATATAAATATGTGTTTTCGCTTCTGTTCTCACTGTTTTATTTGCTTTATTATTGCTCAGTTATTACTTGATTATTATTTCTTTATAGAAGAATTATAGCTGAACATCAACTTAGTGTAAATGAGAAGGTATGGATAATGAAACACATGTATCAACTTGAATATCCGATCCAAGTACAGAGATGTTGACGCAAAGAGATGAAGCTCAAGCTTCCTAGTTAAGCAACAATAAACGCAGTCATGAACAAATTTGCGCAGGCTGGATCTGTACTTAACTTTTTGTCGTCTGGCAGATCAGTCTCAATCACGAATCAAAAGTACAGAAGATGAAATATCTCATATTTTATTAGCATAGCCTCACACATCAACTCTTCATGTTTACGAACGAATGAGATTCAAACCCTACGTGCCCAAATTAGCTCATGAGCTCAATGGTCAGGCTATAAGTCGCCCATGGCGTAAAATATCTAAGGAAACGCACTGTGTAACGCGTTTCCAAGATTGGGGCATGCGTTTCGCAGCGTTTCTTCGAGACGGAATGCGTTTCACAGTATTTTTACTTATATAGAACGCGTTTTGCTGCCTTGAGTTTTTGAAACGATACGAAACGCTTCTTTTTGCGATTACGTTTCGAAGCGTTTCCCAAATGAAACGCTGTTAAACTCATTAAGTCGACAAGAAAAGCATTGTACAGAGTCACAACTCGGAGAAAATGCGAAACAGGTTCTTTTAAAATGCATTTGCATCGGTTACGCTTCGAATGATGCAAAACTTATCTCTTTTGTTAGAGCATCTCGCACCAATTCATCTTCAAAAAGCATGTGAGTTAAGAAAAGTCAACTCTGATATGATTTTGGAAATTATGCGAAATGGTTTCACAAAAAATTTGCTGATTGCATTGTTTTTGATCCTCAAGATGGCGGCGCAGGTCTTCCTTAGCCAAGGTCAGAATTAAGTTCTTCTAAAACTTC